GCCAGGAGGCCTTTTTTTTTTTTTTTTTTTTTTTTTGACAAGCAGAGTGGACAGTGAGAGAGAGAGACAGAGAGAAAGGTCATCCTTTGCCGTTGGTTCACCCTCCAATGGCCACCGTGGCCAGCATGCTGCGGCCGGCGCACCGTGCTGATCCGATGGCAGGAGCCAGGTGCTTATCCTGGTCTCCCATGGGGTGCAGGGCCCAAGCACTTGGGCCATCCTCCACTGCACTCCCTAGCCACAGCAGAGAGCTGGCCTGGACAGAATCCGGCGCCCAGACTGGGACTAGAACCCGGTGTGCCGGAGCCGCTAGGCGGAGGATTAGCCTAGTGAGCTGCGGCGCCGGCCAAGCCAGGAGGTCTTGGCAGGTGCTGTGGCCTCTCTGGGTCTCAGTCTCCTTATCCTGAAATTGGGTGTTGAGAATCAGCCGAGGTACAGCAGGGGAAAGCCAGTGCTGGCGGGGCCTGGGGAAGAGTTCTTGCCCAGCCGCCTCTCATAGCCTGTGTGGCTTCTTGCTTCTCTTCTCCTACAGCATCCGGTGTGGCCCACGCCGAGGTCAGATCCGAATAGCCCAGTGCATAAGAAGTCAGCCGGGAGAGTGCCAGGACCACAGCCAGCTCTGTGAGAAGAAGAGAGTGTTCCCTCCTGCTCACCGTGGCGGAGGCCTGAGCCCCTGCACCTGTTGTTCCAGAACCTGCCCTGGGAGCTCCCCTCCTGCCTCTCTGCTCCTTCCCGGGGCTGATGATGGAGGGTTTTGAGCCTGTTGGCAAGCCTGAGACAGCCCTGTTGGAACAGGGCCTGATGAAGGGAGGGGCCAGGGCACAGCCCCTGGCCATGGGGATCCTGGCTGAGCCCCTGCAGCAGCCTCAAACACAGCCTTGGGTGGGATCCTTGGCCTGGGATCACTCTTGGGGATGAGTCCCTGGGAGGAGTCCCAGAGACAAAACCAAGCCAAACAATTCCTTTGCTAAGTTGTCCCTAATAAATGTGGTCTGTGGAATCGTCCATTTTCATGTCCTGGCTGAGCCGCCTGGAGTTCACACAAGGGCCTCAGGGCCACATGGACTTCCTGGAGGAGAGCTATGGTGACTCACACACTGGGGCTGGTCCCGGTGCCGGTGCCAGTCCTGGTCCGGGGAGGGTCTGAGGCTGAGTGGGCAGGAAATGGGACAGGAGTGCTGCTCCTGGGTCTAGCCCTGGGCTCTTCATTCCTGCTGGGCTTTGGGGTGCTGCTGGCTCCTGGCCGGGCCCCCTGATTGGGGATTCTGGGTGGAGTGTAGGCGTCTGTGGTTTTCAAAAGGATTCTCATGGGCTGCCAGGTGTACGGCCGCTGACTGACTGCTTGATCTGAAACTTGAGGTGCTTGCACTTTGGGGCTGCTACCCCAGATTTGATAAGCTGGTCTTAAACAACTCTGGTTGTGACTGCCAGGCTCCAGGGTCCAGCCTGGACTTCACCACATGGGTCTCTGAGTTCTGGTCTAATCTCAGTGGGGGCTGCATTCCCCAAACTCCCCAAACATAGGACGCTCTCAGAGCACACCCGCTGTTGCCAGCTGTCCTGGTTTACTGTGGATAAGAGTCGTTCAAGATTTCCTTTTCAGGGCCAGCATTGTGGCATGTGGGTCAAGCTGCTGCCCATGGTGCCTGCATCCCATACAGGGGCCTGTTCGAGTCCCGGCTGCTCCACTTCCAATCCAGCTCTCTGCTAATAGGCCTGGGACAGCAGTGGAAGATGGCCCAAGTACTTGGGACCTTTTCACCCATGTGGAAGACCTGGAAGAAGCTACTGGCTCCTGGCTTCAGCTTGGCCCAGCCCTGGCTGTTGCAGCTATTTGGGGAGTGAACCAGTGGATGGAAGATTTCTCTCTCTGTCTCTCCCTCTCTTTCTTCTCACCAGTGGGCTGTAAATAAGGCACATGTCAGTGATGTGCCTCATGGGTGTTGAAGGCAGGGTTGGGCTAAGGCACATCAGAGACCCATGCTGACATGTAAGCAGGGGGGAGGTGGACTGTTTCATATCCCCAGTGTTCACAGAGAGGAAGTGGTTTTCTTTTGGGCTATTAAGTAACGTTCTCTCCTGGGTTAGCTCCTTCCTCAAACATTGCATGCACTGGAGGGCGACTTCCAGGACACAGAGTTAGGTGGGTGAGTGGTAATTTTACACCTGTTGCTCAGACTCCGCACAGCCATTGGGATAAGAGCTGGGGATGGGTGGGGCAGCTTGTCCATGTGATCCTCAGAGGGCACCCTGACCAGGGAGCTGTAGTCACACCCACGTCTGAGCTGGAGTCACTCCCAGTGTGACTGAGGAGGAGGAGGAAGGGGAGGCCTTCCTTCCCCACAATCCATCCTCTTACACACCTGTGTGGAGCCAGGGTTCCAGGCAGAAGTCCACACTGCCAAATACTAACTTTCCTCAAGTCAACATAGCCCCACACGGGGCCCTGAGAGACGCCTGCTTGGGGCGGAGATGCGGTTGTTCAGCCACTGTTTGGGACGCCTGCATCCCACGTCAGAGTGCCTGAGGAGTCCTGGCTCCTCTGCTTCTGACCCAGCTTCCTGCTAATGCACTGGGAAGCCAGCAGATGATGACCTGGCTACCTGGGTCCCTGCCACCCATCTGGGAGACCTGGGTGAAGCTCCTGGGTCCTGGCTTCAGCCTGGTCCAGCTCCAGTTGTTGCAGACATTTTGGGGTGAACCAGCAGACAAAAAATTTTCTCTCTCTCTCTGCCTTAAAAACAAAAACAAAAACAAAAACAAAACCAACCTAGAAGAAAAATGGCTGTTGCTTGCTCTCTTGTGTCCTTGTCATAGATGCAGTTGTCTCTTCAGCCCAGGAACGTGAAGATGGACAGCACACAGAATGGGCTCCAAGGTCCAGTCGTTCTGGTCCAAATCCCAGCTCCGTCTCTTAACTCTTCAACATCACAGTTTACTCAAATTCTCCAGCCCTGTTTCTTCTATACCGATGCTTTTCGACTTGGGGTTATGTCCCAAGAAACTCATGTTAAGCTAAAAATATTCTAAGTCAAAATGCATTTACTATCCCAACCTACCAAGCATCCTCACTCAGCCACACAGCTCACCATAGAGTGTGGGTGGTGTCCCCTTGTGACCGTGGGGCTGCTTGGGGTGCAGCTGCTGCTCTGCCCGGCGTGTGCCACATAACGCTAGCCCTGGAAGAGTTCCAAGTTCCAAGTGTGGTTTCTTTCCTAAATCGGACAGCCAGAAGTTGGAGACCATCCAAACACGAAAAGGAGATTCATAGGATCTTTGTGCAATGATTAAATGCGGTAGCATAGGGGCAGTGCCTGGTCTGAGCGCTCCGTCCCCCTCGAAGGGACTTTCCCCCTTGGGGGGTATCGGCACAACTCTTGTCCCTCGGGAACTGGTTCTTTTACCTCTGTCCTGCCAGCCAGTCTGGCTGTCCGGGCTTAGTAACATAAGAGGGAGAAAGAGAGAGGGAGAGAGAGGGAGAGAGGGA